TACTACAAGTGCATCATTATGATTTATTCCTCATCTCTGAATCTCATATTTAAGTCATTATGATTTTCATGTATGTTCTGAATTTATTAATTATTTAGGTATTCTTATTCCATGGGGTATTTTCTCATATAATTATACTGAATATGAGTAAGAGATATATAGAGGTTTCTTTTACATTGATAGATGGGAATCATTCCTGTAAATGTTACCCTTTGGGATAGGATAAAGACTTAAAAAGAAGGTTTTTTAAAAATATTTTGCATGGAATTCCTTTATATGTAAAATAATATTTTTTTAAAAAACTCAGTTCACTATTTTGTAAACATACAAGTATGTCTATAACAGAATGTGTGAAACAAAAGGAATGTTGCATTCAGGAATGGCTGAGTCTTGACCTTTAACCCAACTGAAATGTTGAAATGCTGATAAGAGCAGTTTATGGTAGACAGCCCACAAATATCCATGAATTGAAATGGTTGTAAAAAGGGGTGGGCCAATTTGAAATATTGATCAACAAGCATTGAAAAGCATTTGATTGAAGCAATTTCTGCTAAAGAAGGTTCTACTATTACTATATTACTAAAGTATCACATACTTTTTCCAGCAAGGAAAGTAAATGTGGGGTCAGACTGTTGAGTAAAGAGGTGACAGAATGCAGTGTTTTAACCAGATTCTCTTTATCTATTAATAGGTTTTCAGTGAAGCTCAGATCCCGTTATAAGTCTGCAGGGTTACAAATAGTTCTAAAGATCACATAAACTCTCCCTTACAATATAGTAGATACAATATCATAGTCTGATGATGTTCTCATTTGGTAGGTATTCTTAAAATTCTATTGCTTTGATTGTAATTAAAAAGCTTAGAATTTTTTAATAAGATGAACTACTATGACTGAGAGTAACTTAAAGCAGTTTTTAAAAAAAATATAGCACCTTTAAAATATAGAACCTTTAAAGTTCCATTTTTTTGGTCTCAATGTAGACTAAGTTCTTTCGTAATTACCTGTTCATTCACTCTGCTCTGAATTTACAAGTTGAGTTGTATCTTATAAGGCACAATATTGTTTCATAAGAGCAGGATTTGCATCTCATAAGAAAAATATGTGAAGGTCCCTGCTCTGCATTATATAGTAGCCATACACATGAATTAAAAAATGTGGATAGGAAGATAATAGATTTAAAATCTTAGGACTTTGCCAGAGCTCACAAGATTCATTTTGCATATTCTGGGTGAGAATGCCAAAATCCAAAATGTGAAATGACATTACCAAATATTGAGAGATACAGCAATTTTCTAAAATTGCAATACTTTATTTATATTGGATACCTGCACCATAGATGAGCTAGAGTACCTTTGTGGAGCATAATCATCTTGTGGCCCACAAATTGAGAACTGGTCTCCTTTTAAGACTAAATTGGAACTCCATCTGATGACAGGAAATTCTATAGTTTTATGTATGCATTGGATAAAATATTTCACATGACTTCAACTTCCAGTATTGCAAATAAAAAGAATTGGATCTGTATTTTCTGCATCATGGATGATGTTATACAACTGTATCATGTCTTTCCTTATTTACCTTCAGTCCAAGTTAAAAAGTAGTCATTCCTCATAAGGAACCTATTTTAGCCCTCTTATAATTATGTTTGCCCATTTATATAATTATTTTGCACCTTTTCAAGGTACATCCCCGTGTGCATAGTATTCCAATCTCAATTTTAGACAGATAGGTAAATGGCATTAGTTTTTTTTTACATTTTCAGTTACTTTCTTAAATCTGGACACAAAATTTGTCATTTTTAACAAGAAATGAGATCTCTGAGTTTTGTTGAGTTGTGCACCCCGACTCCATCATTCTTTTATGATCACTCAAAGCAACCTCAACTCCCATTCATGGAGGTTACGTTTGGATTTTTTTAGATGCATTATTTTGTGCTTGCTCATACTGATTTACATTTGCCATTTTGAGGCCTATTTAGTCAGTTTGGAGAAATGTCCTTTCCGAACTCTTCCTGATATCTTTGTTATCAAAATGCACATGTCATTAGCAGATTGGATCACCTTACTCCTTAACTTCAGTTTATTAACTAATTAAAAACATTGATCCTATCACCAGTCCCCAGGAATTTCATTTTGCACTATTGCCTACTTGTCTTTTTCTTATTCTTAAGCCAATTTCCAACTCCTAAGAACATAAGCCTTTTTTATCCCTCGGCTTCCAAGTTTGCTCGAGAACCTTTATAAGGGACATTATCAAAGGTGCACACTGTGTCTGATGGATTTTATTCCTCTACGTTTTTGTTAATACTGTCAAAACGAGTCTAGAAAATTAGTCTAGGAAGAGCAATATGTGATCCTCTAGATTAGGAGTGTCAAACTCGTGGCGTCACATGACGTGACTTATCACGACTTCCCCCCCCCTTTGCTAAACTGGGAGTGGGTGTGACCAGCGCGTGACACATCTAGTCCATGGCTGCGAGTTTGACATCCCTGCTCTAGCTGCTGCTGCTGTATTACAAATTTGTCTTGCAATAGCCAGGGGATAAAGATACTGAAAACTACAATTTAATATGATCTATAGAGCCACATGTTGTTCACTAATAAGTTATTGTTGTGAAAGTTGATTTATCTCTATCAAAGGAGGAGATTGAGATCCTGGATTGGGTGCTATCAATCAACCCAGGGGATCCTGATCTGTCTGGCTTGTAAGCTGACTCTAAGCTGTTTCCTTGGCAAGAGTATCTTGCTTTCTCCACCGAGGCCTATTTTCAGGAGTGTTTTCTCTGCAAAGAACTCCTGTTAAACTTGGTGCAAATATGTTCAAAGGAAAGCCTTAGGCAACACAGTCTAAGCTTTTAAAATCTCTTTCTTCCAGGTCAAGAGTAATCTGAATCCCAATGCAAAGGAGTTTGTTCCTGGGGTGAAGTACTAAATATATGAGTAGACTGGGCCCTCTTTTGGTGGATGTAGCACAATTTCCACACTGTGAAGCCAGTATTAGAAGATTTAATTGTTAAAACGCTCTCTCTTCTTGTCACTGTGTTACACTTACGCATTGCCAAAGTTTTGTTAGTCTTGCATGCTTAATAAAAGTGCTGAGACTGTTATTAAGTCAACTGCTGTCAGAGGTTAATGAATTGGATCCAAGCTTTCTGTGAGGGAGACAATAAGGAAGGAAGCACCAGTCATGTTGAGAAAAGTACCAAGTTTCTGAGAAACTCTTGCAATTCTGTTTTTAGAAGGATTCAGACTTTGATAAAGAGTGGTCTGTTTTAATTAAAACTTATGGCGGTGTTGATATGCACCCAATAATGCCTTAATGTGAAAATAAAAGCAAGGTTTATCTGATTATGCAGATTAGCTGAATTTCAGTACTGCTATTAATTCTTCCCATTATCAAGCAAAACTTTACTTCATGCTGTTCTTTTTTGAGGAAAGTGTGAATTGTAAAAAATACCTGAATCACTTTTACAGGCCTGTATAGAATCCTTTCTCTTGGCTACAGACCTGGTTGGGGGGAGGTGGGGGAGAAAATTTGGCAATTTGAGATTATATTTGCAGCAAGTTATCATGTTGGAATGTTTGTCCCACTTCTGAGTTTATATTTCACTTGATGTGAAGTTACACATCACAGATTCTTCCAGGAATCCAGAAACATGGCACTGCCTCTCTTAAAATTTTACAATCTTAAAAATTGGATTTAATTGTAAAATTTAGCATTAGTGATTTGAGTGGTGCTTTCCCCTTGCTTTGTTTAATCATCATTACACAATAGTCTACAGCACAACTTTTTTTTAAAACATCTAGTACAGTTTTGGCTTCTTAAACTTCATATTTGGGTAGCTTACGCTGCCTTATGTGTTCAGTGTGAATAGTGTTTAAGTTGAAAATATTGTAAAAAAATTATATTTTTTCAAAAATATTTAAAAAAAAATAAATAACAGTAGAAATGACAAAATGAGTATTCATCTTATTTGGAGCTTGTGAGAATGCCTTTGTTGTCCTGTTCACACGTTACATTTACAACAACCAATGCAAACCCAATGTCTGAGGTAAAAGCTGGAAATAATGAAAAACGCTTTACAATTCCCAGAAATAATTCAAATGACATTCTTGTCAGAGAAAGAAGCAAATTCAAGTAGGTGCAAATGTGTATTCACGTTGTCAATTTATTTAACATCCTGGTTTGTCTTTATACAATACTAAATGCCACAAATATGGAAGCTTTTTAAATAAAATTGTGACCCTTTGAGATTGAAAGTCTTGCAAGCTGCCAATGAAACAATAAGATTAGTGATGATTCAAGACTACATGTAGAATACCAGGAATGTTTGCTGTAAAAAAAGATACCAGCATTTCAAGTAGACAAGTGCGAAAGCCAATAGGCTGGTATATAAAAACCTGACCAAAGCTTATAGTAATTGTTCCGGTGTGTAAATTCCTCAACACTGCTGCTCTTTTTCTACTTGTGGTAGCTTGTGTTTAGTACCCTTGTTTAAGGATTGTTAGGAATGTACAGAATATTTCAAGAACAGGAGAGCGACTTCAGGTAGTCCAGACCCAAAATGGTGTAGTTCAGAATATATTAATCTTTTCATGAAACGGAACAGAACTGGTTTACTTCAGATGTACAGCAAAAGAGAGTTCTGGGCAAAAGTGGTTTTGTGAAAAATGAACTGAAAAAACCCAGGACATAAGTGGTGGCTTAATGGTGAATTTTAAAAATAGCAGTTATAATCAACAAATGAAGGTACAGGAAATCCTCATCTTACAAACACAATTGGCCCCAAAAATTACGTTGCTAAGTGAGAAATTTGTTAAGGGAGTTTTGCTCCATTTTTACAACTTTTTTGCCACATTTCCTAAGTGAATCACTGGTTTCTCCATTGACTTCGGAGAAGTTTGCTTGTCAGAAGTTTGCAAAAGGTGATCACATGACCCAGAAATACGGCAACCGTCATAAATGTGAGTCAGTTGTCAAGCATCTGAATGTAAATCACGTGGCCATGGGGAGGCTGCAATGGTCATAAGTATGAAAAATAGTCATAAGTCACTTTTTTCAGTACCGTTTTAACTTTTAACGGCCACTAAGTAAACTATTGTAAGTTGAGGACTACTTGTACTGTATTTTAATAATGTAAGTCACTGTTCTTCAATGTGCTGCACTTCATATGTTCTGAATTATAATTCCCTTCATGTACTTCAGTACATGAAGGGAATAATAATAATAATTGTTTATCTTTGTCAAGTATACAAAATACTTGAATAGGTATGGTATGGGGTTTGGGCCTCTTCACATGTCATTGAATCTCAACCCAAGCTACCTTCCCACCATGTTAATGGCGAAAGATGCTAAAAGTTTACTTTGACAATAGGACCGGTTTCCCATTTCCTTTGTTTTAACTACTAAACTACCAGTTCAGATTTCTTAAAATTTCCTCTTAGGTTTCAGCCTTTACTGGTTGTCTCTATGAGACAAATATGTGAATGATTGTAAAAAGATGAATGGACCTTGGGTGTTTGCACCATTTCATATGTTTATATATAAAAGCAATTTGATTCCTGGAATCACATCTAATACATGTACTTGTGAAGAAAATCTTGATAAGATTTATCTAAAACCTATTAATAGTTTAACAAAAGTTTTTTCTGACTTACTAAGGCAAAACTGCTTAACCTCAATTTTTGATTCCGAATGTTACGGGCAATATTTTAGTTCAGCTATTACCCCCAAACAGTAGGAAAAAAATGTTGTTTATGGCACTGTCCCAACAATTGATATAATTTGCTTCATTACACAATTGACAGAAATTGACAAACAACCATTGACATAAATATATATATATTAATTATTGTATTTCACAGACATTACACTTTTATGGACATTGTTGTCCCCACACTCCCCCCCCTCCTCCCAAAAAAAACCTGGTCAGTAAAATCAAGGTTTTACTTGCATGTGAGTATGAATGAATGTCACATAATTAGGTAATTTGACCTTGGATCACACATGGTCAGCTCCATCAGATCCAGACTGTTAAGATCTGGATGGGAAGAAATAATATTTCGTGTATCTTTTTCATTTACCATCATCTGGATTTTGTGGCCCAGATCTGGCAGTCTTCAAATAAATGTCTTCCAACATCAAGAAAATATCTGCTTTCCTTCTAAACTCACACTGGATACTTTCAAATCAAAATGAGCAAAATTATTGCCTCTGAATTAGTGAGTTTCAACAGTGCTTAGGTGAACTCTTAAATCAAGTTTTCCTAACAGAATGTGATACAGAAGAATAAAAGTTCTTGAATAGCACACAGATGCCCTCTGATGTGTTTCAGTCATTGACCTTGACTGATCTGAGACATTTTCACGGGGATAGTTTCAATACAGCTAAACGTTTCTGCAGTCTCTGTTGTTAACTTTTCATTATACAATGAAGAACCCCTTCAAACTTTGGTACACATCCCTGATTCATCCACTGTATCGATTACTTGTTCTGATATAGCAGGATCTTTCTTTGTTCTTGACTTAAAACCTTTGAAAACAGGGCAGACTGGTACATACTTTAACCAGTGAGTCCTTTTAATCAGACCCATCCCAAATGGAAAATCGTAACTCTTCAGTTTTGCAGATTCGTCACTGTTGGCATATGCTCCAGCCTTCCACTGTACTAAGCCACGTTCCTCTTGAGTCCCTTGAAAAGAGAATGTGTATTTCAAATCAGGTGGTTTTGGAAGATAAGTTTTCATCATCTAATTTCTTCACAAAAGAAAGCTGTGCTAATAACATGTCATGAAGTAGAGAGTTACACCATGAGATTAAAGAAATGTAAAAGTTGAAATTAACTTTCTGAGAAGAGCATGGAATTTTTTTCCTGTGATGGGATCAACGGTATTAAAAGGAACAGAAGTGTCTGCTTTTTGCATCCCATTCCATAAATAAATCAATTGGGTTCTGATAGGAAATACATAATTTGTTTTCAATAGGGTTTCATTACCTAATGAAGAACTATGTAGCAGGTGGGAAGTTGCTATCCTAAATTCCAGGGAGATAGTTATGATACCACAAAAAACAACTTCCAGCCCTTTAACATTTAGCATATTGTGGCATCAGCTTTTGGTAGACTTAAAAAACAATTGGTTCTTGAAAAGCCTTGCCATAATAAATGTTCTAGCCTTTTATGATGCTACGAGGTAGTTACAAAATTAAAATGCCAATGTTATGAGACAGGACTGCAAGAATCTAATTTTACGATAATATTCACTACATCTATCAGGCTACAGTATTAGCAGATTAAAATGTTGAGGGTCATCTACCCCTTAATATATCTGGTAAAGCAGAAACAAAAAACAAATGGTTATAAATACAATACTTGTACATCTAGTTCTGTATTTTCTGCCACTGCTATGTATGAGGTACTATCTAGTGTAGTAGCAGCACTAATGCAAGTAACCAGAAAGCAGCAAATGTTCAAGTATAGCTCCCAGTGATTAAAATACTGTATCTATTATTTTGGTTGAATTTTGGGGCTATTTAAATCTATCCTTCCAAAATACAGGCTAAACACTTCAAAATAATACAGAGAAAACAGATGTACCTGGAACAGTGTTGTCCAATATAAATGCAATGCTGCCACCAACGAACATTTCTGTGGTTAAAAGGACTCTTAATATCTGGTCCACTTCAGCAATGCCTAAAAACAGTAATATTTATAGTCCAAAATATGATCAAAATATGCTTTATACGTTTACATTTCTGACATGTATCTTTGTTAATATTCCTCACTTTATTCCCTTTTAGAGTAGGAAACGCTATATAAAGCACAGAAAAGAAAAGGTAAGCAATGCAAGATATAAGTGACAGGAAAAGGAAGGGAAATATAAGTAGCTAAATCAGGCTTAGTCAAACATCCTTTCCTACATCAATCTTTCTGTCCTTATTAAACCACCCATGCTGACGCTGTGTCCATGCAGTGCATCTCTCTGGCTTTTGTTTTGTAAAGCTCTCTCCTTTGAGAATAGCAATAGCAGCTAGAGCCAAGGTGGCGCAGTGGTTAAAAGCAGCACTGCAGGCTACTGCTAGATCAGCAGGTCA